ATATATATATCATTTTATTAAGTCAAATATTCTTTTATTAGTTCCACATTCACAACTATCAAGATATTGGATCCTTGTCCTCTTTGTGTTGGCATTCCTAAAGTTGGCAAATAAGTCCCAGTTCTTCCTCCAAAGGAACTCTCTCAGGGTTTGCAGGCTTCCTCAGGCCTAGGATTTATGGAAGACCTTGAGGATCCCTCTGCGGATCTCCTTGGTCTTCACACTGTAGATGATTGGGTTGAGCATGGGGGGTACAAAAAGGTAGACATTGGACATCACAACATGAACAACAGGTGGGGCACTTTTCCAGAAGCGGTGAATCATGGAGACAGCAATTATGGGCACATAAAAGACCAGCACTGCACAGATGTGTGACATGCAGGTGTTGAGTGCCTTCAGCTGCTGCTCCTTGGATGCAATGGCCAGCACGGTCCTCAGAATCAAAGCATAGGAAAGCAGGATGAAAGTTGAATCCACACCATAGGTGAAAATGACCACAAAGAGCCCATAGATGTTATTAACATGTGTATCTCCACATGCCACTTTCATGAGGTCTGGATGGAGGCAGTACGAGTGATGCAAAACATTGCCCTTGCAGAAGTCCAGTCGTTTCACCAGAAAGGGAAAAGGGAAGAGAGTGGTGAAACTCTTGGTGAGGATGCCCAGTCCCATAGCCATGATGCAGCTATTGGTGAGCACAGTGGCATAGTGTAGTGGGTCACAGATAGCCACAAAACGATCAAAGCTCATGGCCAACAGTATGCCTGATTCCATGAAAGAGAAAGTGTGAATGAAGAACATCTGGACCAGGCAAGCATCGAAGCCAACACGGTGGTAGTTGAAGCAGAAGGTAGCAAGGACAGTGGGAAGTGTCGAAAGGGACACTCCCAGATCATTGAGAGAGAGCATAGAGAGGAAATAGTACATGGGTTGGTGCAGAGCAGGATGTCGAAACACCAGAGCGAGGATGATGAGGTTGCCTATGATGGAGATCAGGTAGAGGATGCAGAAAATCAGGGCAACCCAGGACTGGTCTGTCTGCATCCCAGGAATGCCTGTCAGCTGCAGGGAGGCTGGCTGGAAGGGAGTGCCATTGAGGCCCCTCATGGCAGGCAGTCAAGGGAATACAGATGCAGAATGGGTCCAGGAGAGGGTGCTGGGGAGTTCTTCACTTTCTTTCTTTTAGATATCCTGTCTCCAAGAAAAGGTCAGAAATTGAAAATGTTTGTCCATGTTCCTGCCTACCCCATTAGACTCTGAACTCTCTTAGGAAGCAACTTGGTTCTGTTAATTTCTGTAACACTAGGACCCAGCACATTGTCTAGCCACAGTAGAAATGTTGGGAAGGTTTGATATCAAATGAGTGTCTTTAACATGACAAGACGGGGCAGGAGACAACATGAACAAAGTCCTCTAATCCTCACCTTAAACTGCAGTATTCCTCCACTTCCTCACCTCGCCCCAGAGGTCTTATTTTGAGAATCTGAAGAAAAATAGAAATGAAGGTAGACCCATAGAAAGAAATACTGCCCAGGCCCTTAAGAACCCTTTGGTAGATAACATAGATGGAAAGTCTACAGCTATAAAATTATAGCTTCAATAACCTTTACTCAGATTTCACTTCAGCCTTTCAATCCTAATACCCACCCCTGAACATGTCATCACCAGAGACTACTCCCTCTCTGAAATTTTCAATTCCTTTTTTTCACATTCTGAAAATTGGCTTCTATCTTCCAGCTCTCTTACCTTCTCGTGCCCATACACTTGCTCTCAAGTCTCCATAATCCTTCCATTTTCTTCTGGTCTATTTGTCTATTAACTCTCTTTCCAAGTAGTTCCTGTCCTGCTCCCCCACTAAAGCTGGTATCTTCATCTCCTCTGTGCCTTTTTTACACTCACATGTTAAACCTCAACTTTTGAAAAATTCTATAAACAAACATAGTGTGCAGCTAGATAAAATCAAAGAATTATTTAGAATCAAAAATGAAGAGAATCGTTAGTTACTACTACTTAAATGTCAAAATTATTAACACCTTTATCCTTTCTTAAGCCTTTCTTACTGAGAAGATGGCTCTCCTCCAAAGAAAGGACCTCCACCTTGCAGAGTCCATTTTTACCACCTCCTACAGAAACCTCTTCCACTAACCCATGGTGTGCTCAATCTCTCCCTTTCTGCTGTTTTGCCTTCAGGTTATAAGCATGTGCAAGACCATCCATCATAAAAACATAATAATGTGTCCTCTCTAGCTGCAACTCTATTATCCTTTCCCAATTATTAGTCGAATTTCTTAAAACATTGTTTCTCCAGATGCCAAGAAATGGGAGGTTGTAACTTATGTTTATGTGTCTGCTTCTCCAACTTAATTCTGAGATCCGCAGGGCTGGGATCCAATCTTATTGCCCTGACCTTCTATCACTGCTCATTTTGTTATATTATTTGACTCTTTCCACTGCAAACTGAAACAAATTTCTCTATGGTCATCAGTGACCTCTTTGTTTTAAAAAGATTTTCTGATTTTCTCTCCTAATCCATTTGATCTCCCTGCCAGAGTGACCTCCTCTTTTTTGGAACTGCCTTCTTCCAATGACACCATTTCTCCACCACTTTCTTCCTACTTCGGCTTCTCCTTCTCTACCTTCTTTACTGATTCCTTTTTCTCTGTCTTTGTCCTTAAACAGCATCAGCCTACCTCCAGCCAAAATAAGAAATAGAATGGTGCAAACTGAGAAACCACATCCTAAAGGATTTTTTCTCACCCTTTATTTAAAATAGGACTGCAACTGTATTTCCATGGTACCTGGCATCTCAAAATTAAAGCTCGATCCTGTAATTTAGGCACATCGGCTCCCTTATTCCTTTGTCTTTTCTAGAATTTCATCCTGTTCCTAGCACTACTGGTAAACACAATGAAATTACACGGTAACTGGGGATTGGATAATGCCCGGACAATAGTCACAATCCTAAAATTATATGGGTCATAAAAAGGAATTTATATATTCCTTTACTTTTAATCTCCAACTGAGAAGTCAAAGCACCCTTTTAATCAGTGGGATTCCTTGTCCCTTACTCTCTTTTCTAAACTTCTCTTTTCTTCCTAGCTCAGGTTCAAAGTCAATGTCTCTAAGAAGTCTTTCTGGATCCATCATGTCCAGGTCTGCTTTTATATCATCTTCATTCCAAGATTGTCTCTGAGTCCTGAAGAAATAGAAAGATGCTTGGGAGCCCCAAGAGACACTAAGTACTCTTCCACAAGACAGGTTTACCCCACTGTCTGTGACTCCTGGTGTGCATATTGAGATTCTCCAGAAGGGTAATATTTCATCTATGCTCCAGATTTTCCTTGGTCTGGAAAGCAATTTTTAAAATTTCTTTCCCATGGAGAACAATGCCCCACCACCAGCCAAAAATATTTTTACCTTTTCTTTGTGCACAGGGGCGTCAGTCAAGATGTCCTAAATATGATCAATCTAGGAAGAAAGGTCAAGAAGATGGAGACAGAAGATGGAGACAGATACAAGCAAAGCACAGCAAGTGCATGAGCATGCACACACACACACACACACACACACACACACACACATGATCACTCAAAGGTACCAGAAAATACACATTTTTACACTCCTACACAAACCTACAAATTCAGGTATTCGTAGATACAATCTCACATCCACACATACACAGAAACTATCATACACTCCCTTGGTTACACACACATACACTGTCACACCACAGAACTTAGGAAGACTCACAGCTACCCACTGATGTTATACAATATGTTTCAAATATTCCCCCATGTTATACCCTTCTGAACACATGTCTATAAATATGTACACAAACACACACCCACAGTGTCACAAATGCCTCCACATTAACAATCTCACAATAGTATCTCTACTAATTATATTCTCATGCCGTGCTCCATACAGAAAATCCAGGTAAGATTGAAGACCACAGTGTTAAAGACTTCATTTTACTTGATTCTGTGACTTTTCTCCAGCTGCACACCCAAGAGCCACAGATAAAAAACAATAAGTCAAATTTTAGAATTTTTAAAAAAGAACTATGAAATATCTTCATGACAAAATCAATATCTGTTGCATCAACCTCTTTACCTAATGGTTAGTGGTTTGGTCCTAGGGATTTGATTCTTATTGAAACCCGGCAT